GTCGGCCCGCAGGGGGACAGCTCAAGCGCGCCCGGGCTGTCCCGCTGCGGGCGTGCTCCGAGGCTTTACTCCTTATCTCCCTGGTCTGCTGGTCGGGAGACCGGGAGCAAAGCCGCGGAGCACGCCCGCAGGGGGACAGCTCAAGCGCGCCCGGGCTGTCCCGCTGCGGGCGTGCTCCAAGGCTTTGCTCCGCATCTCCCTGCAGACCAGGGAGACGGGGAGCAGCTTTTCTCACCCCGGAGGACGGGGGCGGTGGACCGCGGTGCATCTGGGCATCCCGCTGCTCCCGTCCTCCGGGGCGAGAAAAGCCCCGTTCGTAACTGCGGATCCGACATAAGTCGGATCCGCGTAACTCGGGGACTGCCTGTATTTACTTTTGAAGGAAATATTAAAGAAACTGAGGTATTTTTTCCTCTGATCTAATGACTGTCTAAGGCAGCAGTGGGCAATAACCAGACCACAGGACAGAAGCAATTAATCAGGGTTAGTACTTGGCAGGCTGCCAGAGCTTTATTTATTTGAGCTTTCACAGATACAGCCACTTGAAGCTCCCATTGGCCGTGGACTGCAGCTCCTGGCCAATGGAAGGAACTTCCTGCAGGTCCTGTTGGGCAGAAAGAGTAACCCTTGGCCAATGGGAACATCGAGCAGCCATACTTGTGGATGTGTGGGTAAATAAAGTGCCAGCGGCCCACCAGGGGCTAACCTTAGAGAGCCACATCTGGTTTATTGCCCATCCCTGGTCGAAGGAAACATAATGTATTCCCTGGATCCTTTCAAAAAGAATTAGGAATGATCTAACAGTATTTCATTGTAACCCTCATTTCACAAGGAGTAAGTAAGTCGAAGGAGGAGTCTTCTTCCTGAAACTTCTTGCTGTGTAGAAAGCGCTAAAAGCTAAATTAAACTGTTTGATTTCAGCTACGCAATTGACGTGACTGAAGTTCCGTAGCTTAATTTGACTTTAGCCCTGCTGTGTAGACGTACCCTTAGAGACTAACAAAAGTGAATGCTTAAGTGTTTTCCTGATTCAGGTCTAAATTAAGCAGATGGCAGAGAGAGAGAGACTTGTAGAGGAGCTACTACACAAATAAGGAGTCAGAGAATCTGCATTTTATTCAAGACTCTCTCAATGACTTGATGTAGGTCAGCTTGGGAGCCTGATTTTCAGCACAAGATATGTGTAATTAAGCTTATAAAAATCTTAAATTTGCACACACAATTACTACTGTTATGGATGCCAAACAGAATGTAAGGACCATCTTCACGGTTGCACATTTATCAATTCCATTTATCTAATTTGAAAAACAGGCCATAAATCTCTGCATTTTCCAATGGAAAAGACTAAAATAGTAATAACTCCACATGATTGTTTTTTAGGTTTGCTTAATTTATGCTTCCTATATGCTTTGAGAACCTTAGGTGAAAGTTACAAAGGGTCTGCTGGTGGTACCACTGAAGTTAAAAAGAGACTATTATAAAGCCATCTTCTTCAGTGCGGTGTACTTTCAAGTATAATTTACTATGTAAATTTTCTGATGAACAAATACACAAAAACACAAAAGATTCTGTCCATTTCATTAACATAATTTTATATTAAATATTCAAAATAATTGTTTTAACAAATTTCAGATTTTAAGTTTGCAGTATACATATATCCATGTATATGTGTCATGTTTATGGGAGGGATTTTTTTTTCTTTTACTAATAGGGCAGAAACTAGATTATGGTCTCCACAAGTTTCAGAAGATGGCAAAGCACATCCCTTCAAAATAAATTTGGAAGCTGAACCACAGGTATGAAGTTTTAAAGTCACCACTACACTTCACATAGCTTTTCACATTCTAAATTGTTTCATTCATAGTCATCGTAATTATTTATAGCACATTTTCTCCACTATCTACTTAACTTAATATAAATCATAAAATGTATTAAATACAGGGACATAATTTTACATGATTAACATTTTAAATTCACATTTAAATCTAAAGGAAACCTAAAATTCTCATGTGGAAAAACTAGAGTACCTCGAACTGTCTCTCAAAACTTTATACTTCACTATGGTTTTATTAATGAAAGAAAATATCTCTTTTGATAGTAATGTTGCTTAAAATCCTCAATTTTAATATTTAATTCATGATATTTTTAATTTCTTCAACTGAGACTACAGGTACATCTACACTGCACCATTATTTCAAGATAATTAGCGTTATTCTGAAATAATGTGAGCAGCTACACAGCCATTCCGTTATTTCAAAATAATGAACAGCTTATTCCAAAATCTGTAAACCTCGTTTTACGAGGAATAATGCCTTTTCCAAAATAGCTATTTCGAAATAAGGCATGTGTAGACGTTCCACTGCTACTATTTCAAAGTAGCCTCTTACCAGGGACATTCTAAATTATTCCTCTACAGTGCCTCCTGGGGCTCTAAATAGAGATAGCAGTCTACATTAGGGAAGCCTGCCATGGACTAATTTTGAGGCTTCCCTGCAGTGTAGATGTGCTATTTCTAAATAAACTATTTTGGAATAACCATTCTGGAATAGCTTATTTCAAAATAAGCATGAAGTATAAACATACCCTACATGTTAAATATCAAAATTATTTCATTATATTATGATAGCAGTTTTTGCACTGTTACAGTCAGCTGAACAGGATGGTTCAGTAATGCGGAGTCTTTTTGCTTCAATAAACAACGGTAAAACAATGCAAAGCAACAGAAAACTGCAAATTCTGAATATGTGGAAAACTGAACTATTCAGACAGCTATCAGATGGATCGGTCATAAACTGGAACATTCTATCTGCTAGGGATGTGACAGTGTAAAATGGTTAATTGATGAGCCTGGGTTCACTGGTTAACCTTCAGGGTTACATGCAAGCCCTCTTATCCCCATGCTGCTGGGAAGGAGGGCAAATCATGGACTGGGGGGTGGGGTTGCCCCACCCCTTCCCATTTAGGCCCCTTCCAGGGTAGCCCAGGGCTACTTCAAACTTTTTTGAAGTGACCCCTGGGCAAAAATTATTGCCCACTCCTGGTCTAGGACATATACAGAAAAAAAGGCTTTTGTAATGTCAGGGTCTCCTCCAAATGGAAAAAATCTTTAGAAAAATAATCGGTGTGATAATAAGCCTATACTATTAGGCTATGTCTACACTCGCGGCTTCTTGCGCAAGAACAACTTGCGCAAGGGTTCTTGTGCAAGAAGACGTCTACACTGCCATGTGCAAGCTCTGCTTTTGTGCAAGAGCCCCCATGGCAGTGTGGATGCTCTCTTGCGCAAGAAAGCTCTGGTGGCCATTTTAGCCATAGGGCTTTCTTGCACAAGAAATCCCTGCCGAGCATCCACATTGCCCACTTGCGCAAGAGCTCCTACGCAAGAGGGCTTACACCTGTTAAAAAAGAGCATAGCTCTTGCGCAAGGAGCCCTCCCTTACCACGCCGTACTGCAAATTCCCTTGCGCAAGAGCGAGCGGGCAGTGTGTTCGCTCTGCAGATTCTTGCACAAGAATGGCCATATTTGCGCAAGAACCCACAAGTATAGACATAGCCTTATAGTTCTATGTCTAAAGTAGACCATTTTTAAAAAACATAATGCAGCTGAACAGATAAATACTATTTGGCAACAAATTATTGAAAAACTATCTCCATTACTGTTATCAGAAAAACTGCTTCTGCTATAGCAGTGGTTTTCAACTGTGATCTGTGGACTCTTGAAGATGCTCAGACTATATCTAAGGCAGGGGTAGGTAAATACTGGCTTGCAGGCCAAATCTGGTCTGATGGAGTTAATCCCTGGCCGATCCATATTTCTATGCTTACCTGCACCCTCTACAGGTATCAGACGATCACAGTTTTCCTTGGCCACAGATTGGCATTAATGGTCAATGGGAACAGCAGAAGCGGTGTTCTGGTCCACACAGCTTCCAGCTTTTCCCATTGGCTGTGAACAGCGATCCACATCCAACAAAAGATGTAGCGGTGCAGCTAAACATAGCAGTGGCAGTCCACCATGGACAAAGCTTGGTGGGCCACTGGTTTTTTACTGCCCACCTCTGGTCTAAGTGGTCTGAAAAAGGTTGCCATTACCACAGAACAGTGGTTTTCAAACTGTGGTCCTTTCCAAAGGAGTATGCACCTCCCTTGCAAATTTTTAGAAGTCCACAAATGTCAAAAGATTAAAAACTACAGTGCTATACTAAACAGTTAATATTCATTTCCTTGTCTACCTCTTTCCTTAAAAGGGAACAGTAACAGATAGGTCTTTAGAAAAGTAGTTAAGCTTTTAAGCAACTGTGCTGAACTATTTAAAGGAATATTATAAAGGAGATTTATTTACTGCATAGTTAGACATAACACCTGAAGCCTACCATATATGTTCTGCTAATTAAAGAAATACAGTGGCAACATTTCTTAATGTTCCTCATACCTTAGCCTGAGCTGGTGAACTATAATGCATCTGTAATAAATGCTGGTTTAGCTTACATTGGTTAAGGTTGTTGAAAAACTGAAACAGATACAATGCCTGAATTTTAAAAAGGCCTTAATGCCAAGATCAGTGGAAAATTCCAAAGCACCATATTTTTCCTTAAACTCGAACTCCACTACATTACAAAGCTTGGTCAGCATTTCCAGTTTTTAAGTGTCTCTCGAACTTATTTCAAAGGTCATAATTGTAGTAATATCAGGGCCTTTTTCAAAAGCAAAGCCAATTTTTTACTCTCTGCTACACAGAAAACTTTGTTAATTTAAAGTTAATGTTTACTACACTAAGTAAATTATCACAAACATTTGAAAAACACAAATATTACTGTTTTAAAAAACTGAACATTAACCCATACATAAATAACAATATAGATGAACGTTCATGCATACCCTAGCAAAAATCTCTGTGACAAGCAGTGACTTTGAGAAGTGTATGTCTTTTGTTCATGAAAATTACAAATAACAAACTGACTATTTTATTTCATAACCATATCCCTGCCATAATGAGCACCTGCACTGGACATCTGCCACAAGTTCTAATTACTAAGTTATGACATTATAAACTAATCTCATAGGCTCACCCTGTAGAATCCCAAACATGGTATGAGGAAGACAGTAAAAAACCTACTTCATGTTCAGCCAATCTGGTGGTGAGGGAAATTCCTTTCCAGCCTCCAAACAAAAAAGGGTTAGTGTGATGCCTCCAGTGAATGATGAAGGAACCCAATCCTTTTCGGATTCTATGGGCAGAAGGATTACCAGCTCAACCAAGGTGAAAGAGGGCTTCACTGGGACTGCACAAGACATAAACATCAATCCTTTTTGGTCAATTGGAAGGCCAGTGCCTCATATCAACCTGGTTCAGCTGATTCCTGCTTCTTCCCACTCTGTGCAGGTAGACTTCTCCCTTCTTCCGCTTCTGCTATCAGTTGCCCCATAAAAGGGCAACCATTCCATGTCTTTTAGCCAGCTGGAAAAGGACTTACTGCATAAAGTTGTAGTGAGCACACTTTCTCCTCCTACCTGCAGGAAAAATTGGCAGCAGGAGCCAGCAGTATAGTCTACGGTAGAAATTAACAATATGAAATGCTGCTTGAGGTCCATTCCTGATAACTACATTGGTTGATTCTGATAGAAAATAGCTAACTTTTTTATTTCTATTGAAATGTGATATCATGGATAAATATTTTGAAACAACAGACTACACAGTATTAGTACACAGCCAAATGCAATACTATGTAACAAAGCTATTTAGCAAATAAGGATTTTGACTAGCTTAAACAATTGGAGAAAGTAAGTCTGCTTAAAATGGTTAATGCATGTGGCTTTAATAATAAACACCTCTTTTTTGTTTTTTATTTTCTACTAGCAGTGTAAAACAGTATTATGTATCATGTATTTTTCTCCTTTTCCCTTTTTTATCTTCAGCTAAAATTACAGTGTTTTCCTTACAGTAACTTTTTTAAAATTTTAATTTACTTGTGCTTTACCTTATAGATATCCTGTCATTTTAAGTATGGTATTCAGTATGACCTGATTTTTTAATAGGAAAGATGTTATACTTTTTCTATAGTGTTAATTACATTATCATACAACTAAGATTAGAAATTTGAACAAAAACAGAACAAGAATCTAACAATCACTTTAATTTATATGATCAGAATGTATTAGTAATTGCAATCACATTTTAAAGCATTATAATTATGCTAACATACGAGTCCCTGTGCTTTTATACACCTTCATTTAACACCAATGTACATCTCCCAACATTTTGCTACGAGTTAAACTAAAGCTCTTTTAGTGTCAGGACAACTCTAAAACATAAACGATAATGTACTTTTTACTAAAGGCCCCAGGTCTGAATTCATTCTAAGTACACATAAACCGTCCACTGTTCCGATAGAGTAATGAAAATTCCTTCTTATTCCTATTTTGACTTTGAATGCTCTTGGATTCTTACTACATTTTCGGTGTAAAGGAGCAACTTTCCTAGTTTTCAGTACAACAAACACAAGAGCTGGACTGTTTTGACTGCTGTATGTTTTGTCATTGACATTTTGTGACATCATGATTTTCCATGAAAAACTAATTAATTGCAACAATGCAAACAATCTTTTGTCCACTGTAACATTGTGAAGATGCTATTATGATGTCATGTGTTCTCTGTTCTGTCATTTGTCAAGAACAATTACAATTGGATGAAATGACAACTCTTACGGTTTTTTAATATTTGCATATTTGAATCAATTTCCAATATCATGACTCAAATATAATACATACATTAGAAATGATCCTCAAATATTATAAAAGACAATATCTAATTACTAATATACTGTTCCGTTGCATCCCCTTCATAATGTACAGAAATACAAAACTGCAAGTGAACTTCTCTATGTCAATTTACCTATGTGCTGTCTTGTCTTCCTCAGTTTATTATTTCTTAACTGTCTCTTAATAGAACTGTTTTTTCCTGTTTGTGTTTTCTGGCAGGCATCCTACGTATTTATGTTTTTAAAGGGCTAATAGAAGCTCTGACACTGACCTCTTCCCACGATATGAAATCTAATTTATTTGGCGCTATGCCTTCCCCAAAGGGTTCCTGTCACATTTTTTGCCTTTATAGTCACATTTCCTTATTTTTAAAATGTGTTTCTCTCTCCCATTGCTGTGTGACAAATCCACAAATAACAGTGGACAGGGACTAGCAAACAAAATTAAGCTGACTATTGACAAAATACATAAAGCAAACAAAGTGGAAAAGAGAAAAATAATTTTAAAATATAAATGATTATATGTAACCCTTATACCAGTTACTAAAACACTGAAGTTTTTACATACATGCCACTCATACTATTGGTTTTCATAAACAAACAAATAACATGTAAATGGCTTACATGCTACAAAAAAAAGTTTCATGGATAAACACAGAATGTCTGTGTAACCTATAGGTATACTGAATCAAGTCTTTAAATTCCAGTGGAGAAAGAAGGGATTAGCAGTGTTGTCAGTTTTGCTTGTTATTAGCTTCATTGTGCACTGTAGCTTTGTGTATTTTGTCTGCCTATTGTGTACAGGAATTCAAGCCTATTGGTACAGCTCATAACAGAAAGGCCCAGCCTTTTGTTGCAGCAGCAAACATTGATGACAAAAGACAGGTAGTGAGTTCCTCCTATAATTCTCCAATTGGGCTGTATTCATCTGGCAATATTCAAGATGCTCTTCAGGGACAACTGAGGGGTTTAATTCCTAGTTCGCCTCAAAAGTAAGTATTGGTGTTTACTTACATTACGTGGTCTTTTGGGGCAATATCACTATCTGTTCTGTTGTCCATTCAAAACTCCAGCTCTTGCTGTTTTTTTTTCTTGACACTCTAAAGTTCTGTCATATTTTTCATAAATGGTGATAAATGAAGCAATTTCCTTTTAACATCCAGAAGTGACCATTCAGCTATAAAGTAGCCATAATGCAGATAGTTAAAAGTTCTCTTGCTCTGGATTTGGCTGCAATACTACACACCATTCCCTTCTCTTACACTACCTTGTGCTCTTCTGTGTTTCCGACCGTAACAGCAAGTGTGTTTTAATACCACTAGTCTGCAACATAGAAGTAGTAGTTTTTTAACAATTTGTAACATTTATTTACGCTAATTTTACCAAGTAATAAACAGTCATCAACTGAAGGAAGTTATTTTAATCCTTTTTTTACAGGATTTGAACTACTTTGAACACAAGCATAATATTCGTCCCAAACCTTTCATAGTCTCAGGCCGAAGCAGGTCATAAGCTTTAACTAAATGATGTTTTGGATGCATGGTTTTTTTAATACATAATCACAATTCATATGAAAGTGCGGTATTAATGCATTTGAAGTTATTTTATGCATTAAAGCTTATTTTAAAGCTTTAAAAATAAAATGCATGGTTTGCAGAGCTCAAGCTTTTATTTCTAAAGGAAGAGAGAGCAGATTCTGATGTCAATTACATTGGTGAGAGTCTGGAATAAGTCCAGTGAAGGCTCTTCAAGTTGAGGCATCTGGTCCAGATAGGACTAAAATCAGAATCTAATCTTGGAACGTTTATGAAGCTGTGAAATTCTCTAGTCTCACTATGCATTCATATAATTTGTAAATTTGCTAATTAAGTATTTCATCCAATCATATCAGGAACCTCTGAACATGTAGGTTGCAAAGGCCACACCTTATCATTCCACAGCAGGCTGAACTATTCACAATGCAATCTGCAGCAGAAAGTCTAAATAAAAGACAAATCTGAGTGCCACAGAGTAGCAAAACTAGAAAGGGAAGAGATCATGCACATGAGCTCCACTGATTACACCTAATTTCTCTCTCTCTCTCTCTCTCTCTCTCTCTCTCACAGTTGGGGCTATATCTAGACTGCAGACTTCTTTTGGAAGAAGATTTTCCGGAAGAGATCTTCCGAAAAAACTTTTTCTGAAAGAGAGTGTCCAACACTGCTAAAGCACATCAAAAAAGCAATCTGCTTTTTTGACAGACAGCGTCCATTCAGTGTGGATGCTATTTCGCATGTAAGCTGTGATTGCTATGGGTGGAGTGGCTACCAGGGCACCTGTGCTTTTTCCTCTTTCCTCATCTATCTAAAGAACTCCCTATTCCCCGTCCACACATGCCTTTTTTGGAAAAGGCATTCTTCCTTGTAGAAGGAGGTTTACCAATGTCAAATAAACCCCTCTGTTCTTTCAATTTTTTTCGAAAGAACACGATTGCAGTGTGGACATGAGTGAGGTTTTTTTAGAATAATTGCCATTTTTCCGAAAAACATTTTGTAGTGTAGACATACCCTGGGTGTTATCATGCCTGAAACAATATGACTTGATCATAATAGAAGGGAAAGGATCCTTCTAAAATCAGGTGAAGCCTCTGTAGCTACATAGATGAGAATGCCTCACAGGCTTGAGTGGACCAACTTCTATGGATGTTGCTTTCCAGTATACAGGCTTTATTACTACAAGTGGCTTCAGTGCTGTACCTTATTTTCTAATTTAAAACATGTTTGTGTTGTTTCCAGCAGCTGAAGTCTGATACAGCAATCGGAAAAGTCTAAGCAGTTGGCATGAACCTCGTTGACGCCCTATTCATGTTGGGCATACACAGAAAGATTACCAAATTATGCAAACTATCCAGTTAGTGCACCAGTACAATACTAATATTAAGGGAGTTTTTCATTTGTTTTGACAAATAAAGTTTAGTTAGTTCAGTTTATTCTATGGAGCCTGCTCTTCCCATGCACAAGAAGTGACATGCAGAGCACTGGCACGGAAGATTCCAAGTGTATCTTATGCCCCCTTACTCCCCTGTGTTGGCACAAAGGACAGGTCTCAAACTAGCTCTTCATAAATATGTGGTTGACCCCACTATAGCATTGTATTATTACTCTTTGCAGAGAAGTGAGGTGAAATTGGGTTTTTGTGACAATGTTTGGACTTGTAAACCATCACAATGAGAATTTACAAGGTTCAACTATATTAATACCATTCTTTTCTCAGATGGCAAACTGACTGCAAAAATTAATCTGATAAGAAAGGTGATTAAAAATGTTAATATTTGTTAAGTGCTTTGACAATGGAAAGTTCTATATACTTCAAATTGCAAGCATTATTTATTAGACTCAGATAAATGGTACCTTTCTATTGCAAAATAGCAGCAATAGTATTGGTTGTGAGCTAGGTTTTTACCCCCCTGGACTGAACATCTATGTTAAGCAAATTCTGTTGGTTTGGTACTTAAAGTCAAGTTTGCCAGAAGAGAAATTTTAATTTATCATGTTGGAAATTCTCAAAGTAATAACTGAGGATTATATCCCAAAACAGGTTACATTCTTATTATTTTTGAACATAGTAAAAACACCATCTAAGTTGTAAACCTCTCTTTAGGATATGAGGCCAAATCTCACACCTTATTTACACTTAAGGGGAGATCCTCTGGGGTTGATTTAGTAGGTCTAATAAAGGCCCACTAAATCAACCCCAATCACACTCCCATCAACTCCAGTATTCCACTGGATTGAGAAGTATAAAGGGAGTTGATGGGAGAGTCAATTCCATCGACCCTCTGCAGTGGAGATGTCACGGTAACTTAAGCCAGAATAGGTATGAATGATGTCTCTTGCCTCTGTCACAGACTGGAAATGGGTGATGACAGGGAAGGGATCACTTGATGATTACTTGTTCTGTTCACGCTCTCTGGGGCACCTGGCACTGGCCACTGTAGGAAGACAGAATACTGGGATAGATGGACCTTTGGTCTAACCCAGTATGGCCATTCTTATGATCTAAGGTATTCATATAGCTGGACTTGTGTACCTTTGTTAAGTATTGTCTATCAATGCAGACTGGGTTTTACAGTTCTCTCTCAACAGGAGTTCTGCCAAAATAAGGGCCAAGTTATAGGATTTGGCCAATAATTTCAATTTTAGGCACAATTATAGACTTTATCCTGACAAAACTAACTGGAAGATATATGAGATCTTTACACTAACTGAGTATTGCCTCTCTTTGTTACTGATAGCAATAGCTATGCTTCTTTTGACCTCTCAAAATATTCCATTTATTGAAACTTGTCATTAACAAGTTTTGCTGTGCTGAAAGATCTAAATCTTTTAAAGTATGGCCCCAATTTTTCTTAGCATGGGCATGCGTATCTGTGACAGGTTCCCTTCTATGGGCTTTTGGCTGGGGCATGCAGGGACTGCATATTTACTTGGGAACTTGCCTGTCTTTTTTAATTAATTTTCATTCTATTTGCCTTTGATGGTCAGGAATGTTTCTCTCTTTAAACTTTCAGAATATGGTCCTGCACACATTCCACTTGAGAACTAAAGGGAAAACAATTTTGGGTCATTGTGGTCCCTCTCCATGGCAGAGTTCTGAAATGTAGCTGTCTGGCAAGCACTGTATTATATTTCCAAACTGAGAGCAATATAAAATTCTCCCTGTTTTATTCAGGAGTCAGCCAGAAAAGAACATACCAGTACACAAGCATGTAGGTTGAAGAAAGCAAAATGAATCACAATCCCTCCCAAAAGTTTGATTACCATATATATATGACTGTGACTCTGAGAAGGAAGTGATGTCAGATGACTATGGAAGGCCAGGACTATACATTGTTCCTGGAAAAACTGCCTCCTGAAAAAAGAAATCCTCCGAGTAAAACTAGGGCTGACCAGGGCCTTAAGTGCTATGGGAAGAGTGGTAAAACCAGTGACACTGAAAAGAAACATTTTGATATAATACTCACTACATTTTTGTGCTAATGATTCTCTAAATGTTTTACCCATATTAATGCCCAGTGGCTTTAGAGCTTCTCTAAAACTGGAGTTGTAGCCAACATCTTATTTTAATTATAAATAAAAAATAAGGTCAAATTCAAAAGTAACAGTGACCAAGATTTATTTAATATTATTTGACAATATATTCTGGTTTTGAGGAAGACCATTTTACATTCTGCTTGGAATTGTTATAATTTAGAATAGCAAAAGTATGTCCACTTTTTTAAACATTTCTAACTTTTTTTACATTTTCAGCAAAATACATAACAATGTATTAAATAAATGTATTACTGAAATAACTTTAAAGGTGTACTACATCTCTTGGTGTAGTATTTAAGAAAATGTACAAAAAGTCATATAAATTATTTTAAGTTTTCTTTATAGCACACTCCTTCAAGTGAGAAAATGTAATGTACTGTTTAGGGGACAGACTGAAACAAAGAACTTGGGTTCTAACTCCTAGCTCTGTCACTGACTCTGCAATTTTGGGCAACTCACTTATCCCCTCAGTGACTCTGCTTCCCATTGTGAGGATAGAGTTCAGAAGGGTATGGTGAGACTTCATTAATTCTCTGAAAAAGGCACAAAGTAAAAAGCAATAGTATTTTCCAAGTATTCTGGCCTTTCAGACAGTTATATTTATTGTCAGTGACAGGGAAAAATATATTTAAACTCTGGGCTTTCACATATTCAGATTTTTTCAATTGGATTTTATTTGTAGGTTGGGTTGCGGGGGGGAGGAGGGAATTAAGGAAGTAAAGTTGATTAGATTAAACATACTTTTGCTTTTCTATATTTGATAGATTTCATCTTTTTCTTTATAGTCATGTTAACATCTCTACACTTGTTTATTTTGTCTTTATTTTGTGGGTATATGTTGCACACCTTTCTGTAAACTGACTATTAACACAGTGGAGGCAGTACTCCTTCCGGTATTGATGGTGGCAGTGGACGTAGTACCCCCTCATCTGTTAGTACTCTTAGTACTATTTGCCCTACTGAGTTGAAAGCTGCATCTAAGATGGCCCCTAACATTCCCTTGGAAATGGAACTTCCGGGTGTCAAGATTGTACATGCTCAGTTTAATACGCCTCTGCAAATGTACTCAGATGACAATATAATGGAAACACTGCAGGGCCAAGTTTCTACTGCTCTGGGGGAAAATCCCCCAATGAGGTAATCAGAGCCAGCATGTGCACTGAATATATTTGCTAAAGCATTAACCCTATCAGTTTCCTTACCGTTTCTACATTAAATTTCATATGATAGCTAAACAGCAACTAAAGATTTTGAAGCTTATATTATTTTGAAGCTACAAGTTGCAGCTGCTCCAGGGCTCCCCTTCCCCCGCTGCACAGGAAGCTGAAGGCTGAAGCTGCTCCAACATCTGGGGCTGTGGGCAGGTGCGTCAGTCTCCACCCCACTTCCTCTGAAGGTGCATGCTGGAGCTTCTTCAGCCCTTCCTTCTCCCTTTCGCCCACCTTCTGTCCTATCATGCTACCCGCTCCGCTCATAGGTATGCAATGAACATATCTTTTTAATTAAATGTGTCTTCTTCCTGAGGTATAGCAGCTTTATCATTAATAATTTGTCACATTCCTTTATCCTTCATTTTCGCACTCTAACAACTTAGTTTCTTTTTACTGTGTTTTACTAACAGTATTTTAAGTTTAATCATTTACAATATGTGTGGTATCAACATTTAAACTATTAAAATATTTTCAATCCAAGGGCTCAATAACAGACTTGAATGCAAGTTCAGATCATTCAGCACATTGCAGGATTGGGCCTTTACTTACATCAAAATCATACTTATCCAAAAGTATATAGGCCAAGTTCATGATCAGCTGATGGAAACAAAATTCCATTGTCTAAGAACTTTGTGGAATGACAGTATTGCCCCTACTGTGTGAGTATTCATCATCAGTAACATTTTTTAAAAGCAAACTTGCTTTCTCTCCTTGTGGAATCCTAGATTAAGTCTAAGGATTCCAATTTTACAATTGGCAAAGGCCTCCTCAGTTTGGGAACTGACCCTGCAGAGAAGCATGAAAAGTCTCAACTGTTGGGGGTTACTTTTCCTATTCATTAACTTGAAAAAGATATCTTAAAATAGTGTGTTTGGTAAGTAATTTTGATCAGTGGCAAGCAATTCTACAGTCATTACTTATTATTCTTGTAAACATATTAAAAATAAGTAAATCTGAATGAGGTGTTAAAAAATCAACCATCAACCTGTAACTTATTGGAAGATTATCAAGTCCCCCCCTCAGCCTTCTTAAGTCTAAACATGACCAGGTTTTGTTTTGTTTTTTTAACTTTGTTTTTTAAACCTTTTATAATTCTTGTTACTCTCCTTCTGAACTATCTAATTTGTCCATATCTTTCTTAAAGTGTGGCACCAAACCTAGGCAAAATATTGCAACTGAGGCCTCACCAGTGCCAAACAGATTAGAATAATTATCTCCTATGTCTTACATATGACATTCATATTAGTACATTTCAGAATGATACTAGACTTTTTTTGCAACTGCATCCCATTGCTGAAGCAGCCACTGCCTATGGTGGTGCAGAGTTAAGGGCTGGAGCAGCCTCCTGTCTGCAACAGGTGAGGAGACGCTTCAGCCCCCACCAGTTAATCTTAACTGCTATGCCTCACCTATTTAAGGGTGAGGCTTCCTGGTTAACAGGGTAAACATTTACATCCCTATTTTGTATTTGTATGTATGACTTTGCCTTCGCCTTTACTGAATTCCCTCTTGACTTCAAACCAACCCTCCAACCTGTCAAGGTCATTTTGAATTCTAATCCTCTCTTGCAAATGGTTTGCAACCTCTCCCAGCTTGGTGTCCACCTGCAAATTTTATAAGTCTGCTCTCATTATACAAAATTAATTAGTACTGGACCTAAGGCAGACCTCTCCAAGACCCCACTAAATATGACCTCCAAATCTGACCACAAATTAGGATTATAGACAATCAGGAATTCCAACATGCAAATGTAGTACAAAAGATTTCTGACCAATCATTCATCCTATTTATATTCTAAACCTTATTTTAAAAAATCAGACAGACAGACACACACAAAGCCCAAACCAACTCTTCTGCAATCCGTGAGAGTTTTATTATAAGCTTGGGAACACGAGCTAGGGATGTTAAATATCGGTTAACTGAGTAATCAAGTAACCTCATGAATTCTTATCAGTTAGTCAGCTATTCCATAGTCCCCGGGGACAGAGGGAGGGGAGGAGCTGGCAGCCAGTATGCTCCTGGCCTCACTCCCAAGGAGCAGCATGAGGTGCCAGGTGAGAGCTGGTCCGTGAAGGGAGCCAGTTTAAAAGCTAGCTCCCCTCACAGACCAGCTATCTGCTGCCCCATGTTGTTGCCTCTGATACAGCAGCAGCAGCAGCGGAGGTTGGCAGTTGCCCCATCTAGGGGTTCTGAGCTCCCAGACCCAGCGTGAGCTGGAACTGAGCCAGGTGTCTGCCCACCCAGTGCCTAGTACATTTTAAATGCAGAGCCACAACAGGGGTAGGTCCTAGCCCCATCACATGCCACAACTGAGCCAGGCTGCCGGCCAGCCTTCTAAAAACTTTACTGGGGGAGTGGGGGGAAGGAGAGGGAATGTGTGTAGTATACAGCATTAATGTATAAGTCTTTTCTTGTGGGATAATCAGTTAATCAACTACACTACTACATCCCTAGTAGAAGCAAGCTCATCAAGAGAGACTTATAAAATATTTATCTCTGTATAAATTCACTAATATGCTTCATTAAAGTACATGGCAGTGCTTCTACTTAATTCCCCAAAACTTAAAAAGTTAAAAACCCTTTGTCTTCAGCCAGATTCTTCACAATGCAATTTTTCACCATACCTGCATGCCTTGTTAGTAATAAAACTTAATACAAGATAGCTAATATAAAATATTAAGGGGTAAAATTCTGGCCCTGCAAAAGTAAATAGGAATTTTGCCATTGACATTTAAGGGGCTTGATTTTTTCCGTGTGTGTTTATTTTGTTAAGACAGCAACTACGAAAAATAAGCATCAGGCCCATTTTATTTATTTTTTAAACAGATTTTCCATTCAATAAAGCTTGGCTTGTGAACACTTGCCATTGTGGAACATTTGTTTGTCTTTTCCAATGAATACGAGTTAAGATAACAATAATTGTGATTTACTTATATAACCATTAATATATTAACAAGTGATTGGTTAATGATGCCCTGCAGAAAGACTGGGTTGTTCAGATTTCTGCTAACCTTTCTTAACAGTATGAGTGATATCATGTTTTAATGCCACCCTTAAAGCTATTTGACCTGAAAATGGTATTCTGGAAATTAGGACAAAGAACAACTGGTGACTTGGCTACAGACTTATAGAGTTGTAGCTGTTTTTAAGAGTAAAAACAAATAATGGCCCATTTCCAGTGCAGTTATAGCCAGAAAAGTAACTTCAAAATAACATTATGGCATGCCACATGTATTCTCTAGCTAGACTGCTACATCAAAATTTGTATAAATCAGGAGATAACTTTTCTGACTACCAGTCCCACATATTCAACCTAGGATCTGAAAATGAAACTAGTTTCTATTTTTTTCAACATCAGCAGTAATAGAAGATTTTTTGTTCTAAATGTAGCTGATAATATTATTAATAATAATACTGAGCACTTATATGAAATCCAAGTTACTCTTCCCTGATTGTATTTGTTCTGCTGGGATAATAGTATTAAAACTAGTTGTATCTGTAAAATGAAATCAGCCTCAAATCATTGGATATGTTGATTAATCAGAAGGATCTATTTCAATTGTCATTTTTCTAAGTTTAAATAAATATTAATTTATAAAATGAGAACTTGGTTTATGACAATACTGTGCAGCAATAACAGGAATACAGGCAGTCCCCGACTTACGCGGATCCGACTTATGTCGGATCCGCACTTACGAACGGGGCTTTCTCGCCCCGGAGGTCGAGGTGGCGGATTGCTATCTGCGAGCTCCGGGGCGAGAAAGCCCCATTCGTAGTTGGGAGAGAAAAGCAGCTGGGGCTACCTTGTTCCACTTCCCCTGCTTCTGCTGACGAGTGCAGAGGAGGGCGGGGGACTGGACCTTTACTGCTGACACCAGCCCTGCTGGTCCACGGCGCTGCTTTGGTTGGGGGGAAGAGGAGAGGCAGGGAGAGGACAGCGCAAGAGAGGGAAGAGTAGAGCAGAGGTGAAGAGGAATGGTCCTGACCCTTCCCTGTGTTGGGGGAGGAGTTGCATGGCTGGTGGTCCCCCAGATGGCCTCTGACCATTCCCCTGTGGTAGAACCGCATGTGAGCACATGACCAGAGCTTCTCTGAGCTGCCATTTCCCCAGCCAGAGGGAGTAGGGGATGACATCAGAATGAAGAACCACTTCCTCTCCCCTGCTAGGCAGAGCCCGTGGGCCCGATGCAGCCTGTAACTTGCATTGATCCAGCCTGTTACGCTTGGGATTCCGGACTCCATAGCAGGACAAGCCAGCTCTGGCTTGCTCTGTTGTGGGAAGAGAGAGCCCAAGCCTCGTGGGCCGGATCAAGACATGCCGCATGCTGGGCCATAGGTCCCCATCCCTTTAACTAGATACAAATTTAATCACTAGCAGAACTTAAAATTATCGATAAGGTGAACTGATTTCGAAAGAACATGGTTTTCAAAGAAGAATAAATAAATTAAAACTAAATAAATATTTAGCTACCAGATTGCAGAAAATATCTCAAAAGTAAGTGACATGTTATTGCATATACAGGCAGTCCCCGACTTACGCGGATCCGACTTACGTCGGATCCGCACTTACGAACGGGGCTTTCTCGCTGCTCCGGTGCCAGCAGAGTTGCTCTGCCCCGGGCTTCCTGGAATCAGCTGCTGATCAGTTTCAGCAGCAGCTGACTTGGGGACGCCTGGGGTTCTTAAGTTGATTCTGTATGTAAGTCAGAACTGGCGGTCAGTTGCAGCAGCGGCTGAATCTGGACGCCAGTTCCGACTTACATACAGATTCAACTTAAGAACAAACCTACAGTCCCTATCTTGTACGTAACCCGGGGACTGCTTGTATGTATTTAAATTAAGAAAGATTCAGCAGCAGCTGACTTGGGGACGCCTGGGGTTCTTAAGTTGATTCTGTATGTAAGTCAGAACTGGCGGTCAGTTGCAGCAGCGGCTGAATCTGGACGCCAGTTCCGACTTACATACAGATTCAACTTAAGAACAAACCTACAGTCCCTATCTTGTACGTAACCCGGGGACTGCTTGTATGTATTTAAATTAAGAAAGATATCACAATAGAATTTCACCACTGTAAAAGCATACCAATCTGGGTGAAAGGTATACTCAATGATTCTGTCAACTGATTTTTTTATTGAAACTTCATTTATTGAATCATACTCATATCTGGTTGCTCTACTGCTTTGAATTTATATTGATTAACTCCTTACCTGCTGATCCTTTGTTTATGTTGCAGTGAACCAGTACCAACCTCCGTACCTCAATCTGATGTGTACAGGATGTTGTATGACAATCAGGAAGGATCCAGTCAACCACGTCAGTCTGGTTCATTTAAGGTACTCCAGGATTTAGTCTCCGAGGATTCTGGTTAGTGGCAATTTACTGGATATATCTGTTCACAGCACTTTTTATTTTTTACATGTGTGGAAAAAGGAAAACCTGAAAAGAAGATATACAGGAATCATAGCTTTAAAATTCAACCTCACATTTTATCTGTGTACTCCTTTTAACAGGTGCTATGACAATTAACAAGTCTTAAGAGTTCCATTTATCAAACACATTTTTCAGATTCTGTCAGGTTTTTTAAGTCTGTTAATGTACAAAGATGTTTTGACTGAGATATAAAAACCTTACATGAGAAAATGTTGGGGGGAGGTGGAAAAAATACCCCTGACATGGGGAAAGAAAATTTGCCATCTTTCTAAACCAGTAAAAGAATGGGGAAGATTTCTAAGCTCTTTCCTCAATTAAGATTCTTCTCATATACCCACACACACTTCTAAATAAAAAACAAAATGTTAGAAAATTGGTAGAAGAGAAGAATACAGTTTGCATGTTTATGTATAAAGTCATAATAAATTGTTTAGATTTTGATATGACTTTTTAATATTGCATCATCACATTATTCATATTGTGTCAATCTTTCAGAATGCATTTGAAGGTTAACTGTATAGCTGAGAATTTATTTTTTCATTAGCTGACGTTAACAAAGAACAGCACTCAGTGTCAATCTTGCTCCCACTGAAGTTAATGAGAATATTCCCACTGACTTTAATGATGCAGGGTTTGGCTCCTCAAAATTAAAAAAAAAAAAAAAAAAAAGAAGCCTCAAAGGAAATGTAAGTTCTTTGGCTTATATAGAGAAACTCTAACATTACTGAATAAAAGCACAAGCTTATAAATAATGCCTTCCTTTTTTTGTGATATTGTGAAAATTGCAGATTCTGCAATATTAGGCTTCCACGGCAATTTTGACAGTATGGAGCCCCTACTCTCAACCCAGATAGCCAACTGCAGAAAATTACGGAAAAATAATAATGGATTATATTTACCATAAATAATAAATGTACTATGGTTTGTTTGCAACTTGGCAACAATTTTTTGACAAATACACTGTAATTCAACTAGACCTTATTTATAAATGCTTCTGTATTATACTAAATAATGGAGAATGTTCTGTTTTTCAGATGGACGTCCAGTTGGTATGAGGAGTGTGAGAGCACCAGTAACAAAGACACCTTCTGGTGCAGGAAGTGTACAAAAAGTGCCATTGTGTGACAAATGTGGAAATGGCATTGTGTAAGTTGTTTCTTTTTAATTTTAATAAAATTATAGCTATACAGTAAATCTTAAAAGGGGATTAAAAATATAAGAAGCTATTCTAAAGTATTTTCTGTTTGTAATTTTAGAAAAAATATTACAGGTGAACTGAAATACTTAAAATATAAACTGTTCAAATTCCAAAATCATTAACATCATGTGAAATATTTTATGCACATTCAGTTCACTTTTCACATTTAAGTTTTTTCACTTTTCAAACTTCTTGGTATCTCTTGCCCCACTCAGTCATTAACAGGTGTATACTGAAAAGAGCAATATAGATTGTACTGTTTCAGGCTGGGATTTTCATAGCTGCCTAATGGAGTAAGGTTCCCAATCAATGGGAGTTCTGACTAGGGTTGCCAGGTGTCTGGTATTGTACTGGACAGTCCGGTATTTGCGCGCTCTATCCGGTAAAAAAAAATCAGAAAATACCGGACATGTGCAATGTCTGGTATTTTCTGATTTTTCCGTCTGCACACTGGACAGAAGCCTAGCGTGGGCGGGGGAGCGGCTGGGAGTCCTGGCTGGGAGGCGGGGCCACAATTGCTGCTGGGAGCCCTTAATTGGTTGAGTGTGAGGATGAGGAGGGGTAGCCTCCTCCTCGCTCCTGCATCGCCGGGAGCCTGCGCAGGACAGGCAGCAAGTGCCCAGGTCAGTCCTGCTCCCCGCCGGCCAATTTGCTCACCCCTCCCCCAGCCAGCTGGCCAGTTCTCCCCCACTTCCCCTCCTGATCTTCCCCAGCCAGCCCCCTCCCCACACTAGGCCC